AAACATTGACCAGCGTCGCTGGCTTGGAGTATCTTGGACTATGTGCCATGGTCAATATGGGATGAAGGGGTGTCGTCCATCCCATGGTGGCAAAACTGAATCAATGGGTATATGAATCATTATGATATCATTATGATATCACCGTGATATCACTATGAATCATCATGATATCATTATGATATCACTATGAATCATTGTGAATCACTATGAATCCCTATATATAAATCCCTATGAATCACTATTAATGATCATTCCCCAATATGGATACTTCAACTTTTGACCACGTCTGCTGCGCTGCTTGACTCCAACGACTCCTTCTCTCGAACTTTGTTGATCTTCTCCTCTAATGCGCATTCCTAACGGGAGCGCCGAGACATTGTTGCCACCAAAAAAACAATGATCAACAGTGCGTACATGGTCCACATATCTTTACACCCTGGGTCATTTTTGGTGTAAATGTTCAGTAAATATACATGAAGCAACTGGGATGTGCTCGATCCCGACGTCAAGGCGGAGACCATGACGAGGAATCAATACAACCCTGAATCGTACCGTCAACACCAAATTGGATCCTAGAGGGAATTGCGGCCAAGTTCATCTTGCGTTAGCTTGCAATTACCATGTGGGTAACACCCTGTAGGCCGCGGTTGTCATACCACATCAGCTGCAGTTGGAGAAGAGCCATACTCTCATGTCACAATGACACGTTAAAGGACAAATGGAAAATCAATTTAGTATCAGCTCCCATAGTTTGCCCTTTTTGGATCTTTTTGGATCTTTTTGCTGGTTCAATGGAAGGAATACGTTCCAAGCACTTGGAGATCGATGCCATGCCATGCTTCGCCTGTCGGCTGTCGCTTCACCGAGATTCCCAGGCACAAAGCTTCACAGATCGAGCTCCCTGCAGGGTTTCGTTGATCAAAACCAAGCGTTCGTCTGCCACCTGGCCGGACATTTACGGTGCAATGACTTACCCTCTGGTAAACTAACATAACTATGGAAAATCACCATTTTTGATGGGAAAATCCACTATAAATGGTCATTTTCAATAGCTATGTTAGTTTACCGGAGGGTAAGTTTTTCTTTGGACAGCCGGGATGATGCGTTGAGTGAGATGATGCGTTGGGATCGGTGCTCCCCGAATCTTACCTGGCGACAAGTCAGTGAAATCCAACTATAATAGATGGAAACCTTACTGTATTACTAGATTTTGAAGACCCATCTTTTCTTAGAGGAAAATCAACTACGGTTTTGAGAATTTTGTGAAGGTATGTTTGAACCCCGACTCACGGTCGTCAAGTCTGTAGGAATCATCCAATCATCGGCTACTCAGCTTGCGATACCTTTTCACATGTCTTTTGGCTATTTTCAGATTGCCACACAAATTTTACCACCGTCCGGTAAACCCAATCATACCATTCTTACAAAATTGGCATTGCACCAAATGGTTGATTGTCAAGTATGGTATACTTGGTATAATTGATTCTCTATCGGATAACTTAAGGATACTACTGTATCTCACATCACTTAGAACGTAAAATGAGGTCTGGCCAACTGTTGGCTAAAAAACATGTATCCATATTCCATTGTATTGCATAACCGTCTTGAATCATGATGTCAAATTTTAGTACACCAAAACCAAATGTGTAAATTGGCTCTGGTTTGTCATCATCAATGGCTTTCTCACCACTATCTGTGTATTATACATATATATATAAACAATTATACCATGTGTATATAATCTGATAATCTATCCATACTTATATAAACTTATATAGCATTCCCCTCTCCCCAGTGGTCAAAAGAGGCTAGCGTATTGGGTCAAAATGATCCTATTTCATCCCCCTCTGGTCACCACCAGAGATGAGGCATTGGGCATCACATTTTTTTGAAGGCACCAAGGACCAATCAGCAAGGTTTACTCTAACTAACATATTAATATGTGTATATATATATAAATAATATGATAATATATGTAAAACATTATATATAATTATATATATATATATCTATACATACCGTATACCTATGCAAACAATTACACTTCCAAAATATGACATGGAAACCAAACATGGCCATATCTAAGAGGAACATCATCTATCTAACTCCATGTTTTGGAACGTGGATTCCATCTTGAATTTAAGGAGTGTATATATGGTCAGAGGTCAAACTCGGGTGTATCTGAACATGTGGATGGTTTAGGACTCAGCATGAACCAAAACTCTTTGGATCTCATGGTGTTATTGTTTGAAACATACGATGCTTTACCCATCCAACAATTGACAATAAAAGCTGCTTGGTAGTCGTCAATTTCGGATCATCAAAAAAACACATGGCGGAAAAAACATCAAAAAACATAACCAGCACATGTTGACACATTTTCTGCACGTCTATGCGAAAGCATACTGAGTCCCGAAACCCGGCATACCCATCCGGAGATCATCCAACCATTGCTAATCATAGTCATCATCATTACATACAATGTATATAGATAATTTTAGATATGTATATACATTTATATATATAATATACAATTATAATCACTTATATACATACGTACAGATAACTACCTATACGTCATGGGTATTCAGCCACCCCGCCCATGATAGACGGCTCAGAGCCGATACGGCGGCTGGTGGAAACCCGCCAAACCCGCCAACCATTGGGAGTGAGGGGAGCGTTGGTTGAATCCAAATGAATACATTACATTTGGATCCATCAAATATACCATAAATATATTAATATACTAATGATATACCATTGGATTTGGTAAAATAATGTAAAATATACCATTAATTTGGGTTACATCCCATTGATCCATCAAATATATTCAAATATATTAATATAATATATACCATAAACCATAGTTGACCTGTTTATTTCATATAGGTTTTCACGCTCTGGCAATCAAACATGGCAATGGACAATTTCCCCCTTTTACGGATGATTTTCCCTTTTAAATTGC